AGTACATTCTCATTTAGTTCTTCAAAATAAGTAAGTAGTTTTATTAAGAGGTGAGGTGTAGATTTAGGACTAGAGAAATCATCTTTTTTAACTATCTTGATCAAATCAGTAATGCTTGTCATAAATTATGTGAATTACTCTGTATTCAACTTTATTAAATTTTAATAATAATAGCTAAGATATGTATGTAAAGTATATATATGTAATATGTAATATGTAAGATATAAGATGTTAGAGGATGATGTTTATAATAACCATGTCTGCTGCTATTAAGTTGTAAAATTATTTTATTAATGATTATAAACAAGATAAAATATGATATGAACAGTTTTAATTTTATAACTTATGATTATTTTTATTATTTAAAAGTAATCAGATCTAAAGTAAAGGTACAGAATAGAGAGGTCTTATTTATAAAAAAGAAATGAATACAAAATGTAAATAAATTAATAATAAATTTCTAATTTAAATTATATATGGGTTGAATAGAATTAATTAACTTAATTTACATCTCCGGAGGGTAACTAATTATAATCCAATAATTAATGATAATTATAAATAATAATAAATAATGATATAAATAATAATAAAAAAGAATGAGTAAGAGAATAAAGAATTATTAAAAGAAAATATTAATAATTTAAATTTGTAATTATGATATATATGGTAATTATTTGAGTAATAATATGCTAAATCTAGATATATTTAATACATAATAATCATTTGTGTATTCAGAGTGAAAATAATCTTCTTGGAAATGTAATACAAAGCTAATCTGTTATATAGATAATGCAAAATAAAGATCTAAACTAAAAGAGATCTAAAGAAAGATAATCCAATTAAAATTGTTACAATATAAATTCATAGTTATTTTTATATAGATAGAATAATATAATAAGTTGAGATATTTAGACTAGTATATTTTTATAAAATTTTAATAATTATATTTATTTTATATATTTATTATCACATTATAAATTATAATACAAGTTAATATTATTATGAAATGCCTAATTACATATTTTACCAGAAAAGAGAAAAATAATTCTATAGTAATCAATAATAATATGATATATATTTATCCTCTAATCAGAGTAAAGATTTAATTTAGAGAAATATTATGTACTAGCAAGATAATTTATTAATTTATTTATATTAAATAAAGAATAATAATTTTTAATTATAATTTTATTTAATATATAATAGTTTATATAAAGTTAAAAAGTTTCTTTTTTCTTATATATAAATAAAATAAATACTTTAAATAATAAAAGACTAGAATAAATAAAATTTTTATCAAGTAATTCAGATAGTTATTTCTTTAATTTATCTATTTTAATATAAGATAAATAGTATTTCTAATTTATAATAACTTATTAAATAATAATAAAATAATAACTTAATATTATAAGTTTGGATATTTATCTTCAATTTAATTATATCAATATTCAAGAATTATATTAGAAATTAAAAGAAAAATTAAAGATTCTCTTGAAAAATATATATATAATAAATTATATAATATTACTTAAAAGATCTTTTTCATTTATCAATCTAAAAAAGAAGTATTTAATAATTAATTTGACTTTACACTAATAAAGTTATGTTATTTAAATAAAAAGAAGATATTAAAGATTATTACTTGATTTTTGCAAGAGCAAAAATTTTTTAAAAAGAATTATATATTATTATAGTAATATAAAATTTTCTAATTTCATAATCTTTTTTTAGTTATGCAAAATTTTATTTTTTTATTATTTTATAAATTATCATATAATTATTCTTATTTTTAATAATTATATATATTTTCTTTATTATATTTATCTCTTATAATTATATTTTATTTTCTTTATTTGAAATCTATATTTTCAATATCATATATTTCTTATATATTTAGTAAAATAGTATATTTGAGATTCTTTTTAATTTTTAATAAAATAATAAAATATTAATATTTAAAAAATTAATATTTGAAAAATTAATATAAATGACAACATTTGTAATATTTATATTTTAAATATTGATATTTATAATATTTATATTTTAAATATTAATATTTATAATATTCATATTTTAAAATATCAATATTTATAATATTAATATTTTGAACATCAATATTTTCAATATTATATAGTTCTTTATAATAATATATATATTTAAATAATATTAATTAGTAATATTATAATAATTTATATATTCAAAAAATATATAAAAGAATCTGCTATTTCAGCTTAAAATAAATAATTTTGAATTGAATTATTTAAAAAACATAATTAAAAAACTTATTATCATAATAATAGTGATTTTTTAAAGATTTCTTTTCTAATCATACTAATACTCTTTCTCTTACTTAGTTTTATTCCTTTAATTATACAAAATTAATTTTTAATTTGGATTATAATATTATATTGATTTTTGATTTTTGATATTATTTTGAGAATAAAAGATCTTTATTATAAATAAGCCATATTTTTGTTTTATTTATTTTATTATTTTTGAAAATAGAAGATTTCTACTATAAATAAGTCATATCTTTTTAGTTATTTAGTTTTTATTTATCCTAGTTTTATTTTATTTAGTCATAATCTTCTTTGATTAATAATAGCTTTACTATTTAATTATTTTAAATCTTAAATTATATTAATTATTAGTAATATTACTAATTAATCTTTATAATTTCTTTGATTTATTTTCTTCTTTTATTATTTATTTATCCCTTTATTAAGATAACATCTTTAAATATTGATATAGGTCTTAGAAATCTTTGTCAATATTGAAAGTATAGTTTAATTTCTCTTTCTTTATTTATTATTTAATTCAGTCTCTTCCAATCTAATATTATTAAGATGAATTCAAGTAAAAATTTACTTATTAGATTTACTATAACAATATTCTGAAAAATATAATTAAAATTTTATATATTAATCTTTAAAAAAATTATTAAAATTGTATAAAAAGTTAATAATATATTAGTAATAAAAAATATTCTATATATATAAAAAGAAATAAAATAAAACAAATTATAAATCTGAAATTTTATTTTTAAAAAAATATTATATATTACTTTTTATAATAATTATATATAAAATATATTAAGAAAAAAATTAGTCTCTAGATATATAAAACTTAAAATATATTCTTTTCATATTAAGTATAATAAATATATCAGATTTTTTTTAAAAATAAAAACAAATTATAAAACTTTGCATTTGATTTCAATTTGAATCTTAATTTTATTTTTTATCTGTTAAAAATAACTAAAACAAGCTTAATTCTTAATATCAAATACTTATATATTTTTAAAATAATAAAGCCTGATCTCAAATAGAACTTTATAAAATTATTAGTATTTTTCTTTTAATAATTAAGTATAATATTCAAAAATTAAAAAAAACTAGTAATATTATATAAATAAGATAATAAACTTCAAAAAAATAGAGCTTAATAAATTATATAAGCTTAAGTAATATATTTGTAAAGATAATTCTGTATCTTTATAAATCTTAATTATCAAACTTTCTAGAAATGAAGTTAAAGTATTATATATAATAGTTGGAGTATATTTAAGAAAGCTTGATTATAAAAGTGATCTTCTAAATAATATATCAATGCTAATAGCTAATCAAAAGATAAATCAAGTTATATAGATCATAAATTACTTAAATAACCAATGAGAAAGAATCTTATTTTTAAATAAAATAACTTTTTAACTATTTAGAAATATAATATTAGTTTGATATAAGAATTCTAAATTAATATGATCACTTTCTAAAAATTGCTAAAAAGTTTTTGTTTAGGATGAATTTTGTATCAAGAGCAAAATTAAGTTTATATTATTTTATAAGTATTATAAATACAAGATTTTATATAGAAATTTTTAAAGGAATATCTTTTAGAAATCAGAAGAATACTTGAAAAAAGATGAAGATTTCAACAGAATAATGATCTAAAATATATAAGCCAGATAATCAAGAAGTTTTTAAAAGAAAACTTTTCTGAGATTATAGACTGGTCTTCTAATAGTTCAGATCTTAATCCTATTGAAAATTTGTAGAGAATTATTAAATATCATGTTGAAAAATATATGTCAAGTAATATTTCTGAGCTAGAGCAATATATGATGAAGAAGTGGAAAAATATTTCTAATGAATTTTTGATTAATCTTGTTTCATTAATACATGACCATTATCAGCAAGTAATAAAGAATAATGGTGAATAAATCAATTATTAATAAAATATGTTTTTTATACTGATAAAAACCTTGCTTTCTAGCTTTTAAACAAGTCATTCCATGTTAAAATTGAAGCAGTTTTTATGAAGTTATTGTAAAAAAAGCAGAGGCCAATTTTTTTCTTAACACACTGTATATTTAAATGCAAATTAGTTAATTAAGTGAATATTATATATTAATATATTACTTAAAACTCTATTTAAATTAGTTATAATCAGATTTAAGAGCAATTTAAAATTTCAATTCAGATTATATATTGATCAGATCAGATTCAATTCAAATTTAAAATGATAATATTTAGGTTGAATTAGATTTTAAATTGATCTGATAATTAAATACTATTAATCTTGATACTATATTATTTTAAAGATAGTAAATTTATCTTCATCTGAAATATACAAACTAACTCTTATAGAATTTAAATAAATATTCGATATTTATTTTATATAAAAATGAATTTGTATACCTGTATCAGTCGAAATTAATATTAATTTTTAAATAAAAATATAACTCATGTAAAATATATATATTCCAAATGAAGGTAAAATCACTGTTTCCAAAAATACGTTAAAATTCATCAACATATTAAAATGATTGATTGCCATATGATATAGCCATCGATGTGAAATCAATTTCTATGTTACAAACGAAGAAAATAAAGATAATTTTATTGATTTCATTAACTCGTTACTATTTTTTCTTTGATGATCCAAACAATTTTAGATGAAAATAAAGAGAATATGAGCGACTTAAAAGAAAAAAAATAACATTATTGTACTTGGATCTTTGCTGTGAATGCGTTGATTATCACAACTGAATTATCTAATGAAAACAAAGTTTAAAAGAGGTAATAATTAACAATTTTCAAAAGGGTGATTAAGATATTTTTCTAATACAATTACGTTAGGTACGGCCTGCGTTAAAATTCAATGATTTTGGCTTAAAATAAATTAAAAATCCAGCTACGATAACCAAAGAATTTACGGAACACATGTACGTCCTTATGAGTAAATGCATGAGGGCCACTAATTGCGAAAAAGGAATTTAACGTATGACAACTTATCAGAACGCGCCTTTAATTTTTTATCTGTCTTGATCTTTAAAATTCGCTTGAAACTAAAGCAGATATTATATATTAATTTTATTTCTTTATATATTGTAAATATTATAATTAATATATTGGTTAAAAATATGGTTCGCATTCAATCCGGGTGTATTAAATTAAAATATAACACAAAAAACGACGAACTTGGAATGCTCGTGAGAAATGATCTTTATCATGCATTCGTTTACAGACAGATGACAGTTCAACAGATACAATATCATACATAACCCACTATTTAAGTATCTTCTCTACACAAATCCCCATTATAAAGTACCCTTTTCCTGACAAAGTACTCGGTGAGTACTAATCAGTTTTTAAGCCCTTAGAATGTAAGAGGCCCAAAGTACTAATTGCGGAAAAATACGGTACCACAAAGTTCCCTTTTGGTAATAAACATCAACCTTCAATAACATAATACATGTATACGTTTCTTTTCAAGTCAATTTTCTGTATTTGGAATTTATATACTCATCTTTTACGTGTACAGTATGATATGAAAAAAGGACTCGCGATTTTGTAATGAACAATTATAATTAATGTTATGTTAATAGAAATTTTTAAAGACTTCATCATTAAAAAACCACGAATACTTTTTAGCATACACTACTATCGTTTGTAGAACGCGTTGTTGATCATGTGATCAATCCCAGCACATTCGACTAATGATTTTAATGATTTATAACGATAAGATCAGATCAGGATAAGCGCAATGATTAGCGTTAGAGGACAAGATTATATGTAAAATTGCCATCACGACATTTAATTAGTATGTTCATTTTCATATCTTCTAGTTAGATGTGTTTACGCACATGATCACATGATCAACAACGATTTTAAAAACCCCCGTTTGTAGCCTGAATTTTTAGCTTTTTCCATAAAAGATGTAATAAAACTATGCGTTACACTACACTTTATAACAATCCAAATAAACTTTACACTTTTAGAACTATTCATTTTTTTTTTGACACAATGACATGTTTTATTTTGTTCGTGTTTTCTCTCCTAAGTCAACTTTTGCGAGATATTCAACATTGGTAAGAAATCCATTTTTTTGAAACTTTCATGCATTCTTTTATCATATTGTAGATTTGCTTATTTCCTAACAGTATGAACAGCATTTATTTTTTCACAGCGAAGTGAGATTCAGGGCATTACAATCAGTACATTTACTACAGTCATAAGTCATGTAATTCGAGCAAGAGAACATATGCTTATTTTGACAAGCTGTGCATTTGTCACGAGTCTCGTGAGTCGAATATCATGAATTTTGTGATTCGAACATTTATTGCAACCATAATTGTGAAGACAATGAGCGTATTTCTACGATGATTGAAACCTTCTGCGGATTTCTTTGAGTTTCAATTATGTTTTTAGTGACAATATCTATGAACATAATGTATAATGATTATATGGAAAATTATTCATGGCAATATTTAACCAAACCAAAAATAAAATTTATTGGCGTTTTCAAAATATTTTGTGTTTTAAAATTTTAAATTTGATAGATCTATAAGCAAAAACGTGTACAGAAACTTTGTGTACATTATTAATTTTTTACAGGACTTCCATTTTTGTTTTGTGTTAATTTCTTACGCATTTGGAACAGAAATTAAGTGGAGCCAGATAAGAAAAAGTAAATTGAGTACTGAGTAAAGCTGTCAATTTTCCCAACACTCATCAATATATTTTTAATTTGTTATCGTGACAACAAATTGCATGAATAAACAGTCACGACACGAAACCAAAATTTAGCGTACAGTATTTACCATTTTATCTAATTATATACTTCATATGAACATATAAATGACAAAGAATTTGACTTCTAAATATTTTGACATCGAACGATTTTTAATTTGTTCGTATCTATAATTAACATATACACAATTTAACAGAAAAATATTGAATTTTTAAAATACAGTAGCTCTCTCTGTTATGCACTAACACAGTACGTGGTTATACATTAAACTACATGTTTTTTTTTAATACGTAACGTGCTTCTACGTATTTTACGTGCATGCCGATTCTTCTAAATTTCTTTCTGGATATTCGCGTTAATTATCCTTTAGTTTAATTTCTATTCAGCTAGCTTTTTTCATGGACTTTAAATCCTTGTATAGTTACTGTATACGCTATCGTTATATGCACGCACACCACAGCTATCATATGTTGTTATAAATCATGAATTTTCTCTCTGTCAAACATCGTTTATCAAGCTAAGACAACAATACACTTTTGTGGGTCTACTGTTATATTATACTTTTCAGAGGTTCTTTTTACGCAAAGTTATTAGCTTGATGTGTCTGTTATCTGGACGCTTCGAATGGTAGAACAAAAATTGCAACCGGGAGACAAGATAGCATTTCTAATTAATTCTTTTCTCTACATAAATTTTTGTCAACATATAACGATAATAAATCTTTTCGTAACCAGACGAAACATTTTGACATTGAAGTTCAGAAAAAAAAGGGCGCAATTAGCATAATCTTAGAGAGATCATGCGGACTTTTTTTCACACCGCCACCGGCATTCACCGGAATAATTCGCCGCCGGAATAATTCATAATAGGAGAGGCTAAAGCAACAGGTCACACGTATAAACAGATCCAAAAAAGTTAACAAAATAGTGTTTCTGACGTCATTTTAATTATTTAAACGGTATTATACATAAACATACATCTCTCCAGTAAGTAAATAAATTATTCTAATCTTTATCATAAGCACGCGAAAAAATGGTAAAGGAAAAAAAGGCAAAATACATGTAGATGTGATAAGAGGAAATTTTTTTTGTTGGTATCGACACAAATTAAATTATGCAATGTAATGTACGGGGATGCTTGAACTCTGAAACGAAATTCCCCATCCCCGTCGTTAAAATAAATAAATTTCCACGCCTCAAATAGAAATTTACCAAAAGAGATAAGCATATGTATTTGAAAAATTCATTAAATAATAAATGAAAGTAAAAATGTTTCTCCATACTGACCGATAATGAGAACCATGAGACTATTTATTTATTTATCTTTAGCGTGAAAGCACAATGGTTAAGTTACTGAATTCGACGACAATGGTCATAAAACTAGTATGTGAGACAATTATCAAAAAAACCTTATTTCTGTGCGATTATAACCTATTTTCTGTAGAACAAAAAAAGGGAAACGACCAAAAAACAGCAAACTTTGAAGATACACAACCGAACCTTCGGTTTGACACTATGTAAATGGTGGTAGAATATGATGCAGCGGAGATCTGCCATTATCAAATTGCCAAAAGTTTATTATATACATATAATGGGTATTTTAAATGAAAAGTAAAAAGTTATTTTTTTAAAATGGCGCTTTCTTCTCTCATGCAATCTGTAAAGTATGTATCGGTATGCGAAAAAAAATCTAACGTCGAAATAAGTTATCCTGGGAATTTTTTTTTATTTGTCAGGGTCTTTTTTTCTTATTCGCCACCTATATCGATATTATCCAGTATCGGTATTACAATAATATTATTAAGCAAACGCACACAAATAAACAAAAATTTTGTTGTTCGTACTAATTATTTTATATTATAATACACAAGAAAGAAAGCGAAACACAAAATTAAGACAACATCACAAGTAATTAACATACTATAACACATAATAATACTAGTCTACACAAAAGAGTTGAGATGCAATAAATGCGGCTGGTTCACCGAATTATCACCTCAAATTTCAAACCCTTTGCCTTCACCAACTTACTAATAATACCTTTCAACTTTTTGGTAGTTACTTTGTCGTTACTCTTTAAATTTTCTTTGAAGATGTCTAAGGATACGCAGATTAAACGATTATCAGCTTTGGTGGAAACTTGCTTCGATAAACTTTCAAAATACAATAATGCAAGTGAAGAATTCGAAAAAAGAAAAAAGCATGCATCATCGTCAAGTACTAAATCGACAACAGGCGCCACAATTCTAAAAAATTCTCAACAATTACAAACAGATGGAGAAAATATACAGGAAGCGGCGATAATAACACCACCCCCATTAGATAATTTTCCTCTTCCTCCTCCCGATAATAGTGATAATGATGCTGATGATAATCGAAAATTTAGCATTTTTCGAAATTCAATACTATCAAAACTCGGTCTAAATCGGAACATGCAAGACGAAGAAAACGATGACACTATTAAATCAAAACGAAAAGAGAGATTAGGAAATCAAGCAAAAGAGATAGCACAGCAATTGTTACGTCGGTATAACCATCATTTCGCTTCATTAGAGACATTTTTTACCGCCTACATGACAAAACTTGAGCAAAGATATACAAAGAATACGAATTTTCCTCCCGTTTGGGAAAATACCGATATCCCAATGCATCCAGAGACTGAACAACAGCTGGTCGCGGCGTTTGATCAATATTCTTCTACTGTATTAGCAGTTGACGGAATTTATTGGCGAGCTGATAGTCTAAGGCAACATAGTTTTTATGTTAAAAAGAATGGAAAATGGTTCATTGAGGGAATAAATCGTATCCAAGCGAGAGCATTTGACTATCTTGCACAATATGATAGGATCATTGCTTTGGCACCGGAAGGCACAAGTGGAGTTGTATTAATGCCATTAAAAATGAGAGAAAAGGCGCAAGCAAAACGGAAAGAAAAAAATGTTAAAAACCTTTTTTGTGTTAATCCAAAGAATTTAGACACTTAAATTTCTAATTCGAGCAGCTACTCTTAGACGAAAAAAATTTTATATAGATGTAAAAACAATGGGAACGTTTAGAATATAGAAATAGAATAAGCGAGGATAGATACAAAGCGGCGGTTCATGTTGAAAGTAATTTCAATTGGAATCATAAAAACATTACTTAGAAAATGAACATTGGAAAATTCAATTTTTTTTCTCCATATTCAGAACAAAACATTTGTTTACAATATTGAAGCCCATATTTTCTCCCATTTGCGTAAACCATTCAAATTTATTCAATTATTAACTAAACTTAAACAAACAAAATATGCAGAACAAAAATCCAAGACAAAAAAACCATAGCGATAGAAACAAGTATGTGGTGATGATTATTAACAATAATCATGCGAAAGTCATACTAGGCTAGGATATTAATGTACATGTACATAGAAATTATTTGCTTTCAAATTCATTTTGATGCATGCAAAGAAAACGACATTTAATTAATGTATGCACACCAGATTCTCATTCTTTGAAGATGCATGGCATGCTGCAACAAAATGAACAAAGAAATTCCAGGGGCTCAAAAGCACTTACGATTGGTTGACAAGATCTGGGGATTATCATTTTGTATGCCTATTCATGGAATGGACGAGTAGTGTTTATTATCAGAAGAATATGGTAATCAAAACCCTCTAAACTCTAAATGATTTATTCATCTTGTGAAATTGCGTGATCTACCTCAAAATTTTCAATTAGAAAATTTTGACCTGAAACAAAATTTATTAATTATTGATTACTCGATTAAAAATTTGAAATTTGAAATTTAAAATAAATACCTGATTACTTATATATTTGTCAATAGTTTCCTTAATAATTACATACATATATATATAAGTATATCGATATTATATTTATTATGGTGATGTTCAAAATCCCGACAATTCATATGACCAACAAACGAAATCCCGAATGAACGGCATCCCGAATGATCGAAATACCGGACGAACGAAATCCCGAATTATAATATAGCTGGGGGAGAGGGGGGAAACACTTAATAGTAAATGGATATTACAGAGATTTTTACAACTAGTTCAAGAAAATTAACCAATTAAATTTATCAGTTGAAGAAAGAAAAATAATAATTTCCTTGTTCGGGAAGCTCGCTCATTCGGGATTTCGTTTGTCATATGATCATTAGGATTGTTAATGAGATACTCCAGTTTATGTTATAACATATGACAACGTCGGAGTTGCTCTGGAACCAGATATTTTAATATAAACTAGAACATTCCATTAACAATCCTAATGATCTTGGATTTAATATACAAGAGAGTAACATATTAATATTTGATTTTCATTCTTTTTATCTTGTTTTATTTATAATATGAAAATTCATAATTTGATTGACTAACTATTATGTGATCTATCTAATTGGTTAGTAATTCAAATTTATAGACTATTAGATATTGGAAATGAATTACAATAGAAAAATTTATATATAAGATAAATATGAGTATTATTATCATAAAGTTAACAGTTATATTAATAAAATGATAAAAAAGTTATCATATTATATAATTTATATTAAAAGTTTTTTATAAAACCAAGAGTTTAATTTAATATAATATTATAATGAATAAGATTAAATAATAACATCAATCTCTTTATTATATAATAACTATTATATGATAATCAGAATTATATATAAAATATTATTCAATTTGTCATTAAATAAATTTAATTAATATAATTCTAATGATTATATATTAAATAAAAGTTATTATATATAATTAAATTTATTAAAATTTTATCTTTTAAATATAATATTTAATATTTAGTATTTAATAATTAAAATTATAAAAAATATAATTATTTAATTTGACTAGCTATAATAAATAAAATAAAATATTTATATAATTTTAAATATTAATTTTTATTTTATTATATTATATTTATATATTATATAATTTTTTTATCTATTATTTATTTAAATTAATTTTTATATAAAAAATTAATCCAAATAAATAATTAAAAAAAATTTTATTATGCTTTATATATGAAAATATTAAGCAAAAGAAATAATTTTAATTAGAATTTCTTTATTAAATAATTAAATTTTTATATAAAAAGTGATTTAACAAAATTATTTTTTAAAATATTTTTAAATTTCTTTTAATAAAAATATAAAAAAATTATTTTTAAAAATATTTAAATTTAAATTCAAATTCTTAAGATTTTTATAATTATTTATTTTTAAATATAAAAAATATATAAAATAAATTAAAATATTATAATATAATGATAATTAAAAGTAATATATTATTATAGACTAAATTTATTAATAAAATACAATAAAAATTAAAATTTTCTCTATATATTAAAATTTATAATTTATTAAGAAATAATTTTTATTTTATTAA